ATCGACACAAACCGACAAGCTAAGTTGTCGGTTGCCAAATTTTTTAATATTCTTCATGATTTTCACCTATTACATTATTATTACTCGATATTTCCAGTAGCGCTAAATCGAATTTATCAAATATCTTTTAATATATCCGATAACGCCGTATATTAACCGTATATTAATCTACCTTTCCTGAGACAATCCTATATTCATCCCTATTCACAATAAAAATAGAGGGAGATAATATTTCTCGATAAGTTTACGAGTCATAAAAGGGACACCAAGATAGCGTACAGTTAGACACCCGAGTTTAAAACCTGCAATTGTACAGCAGGAACCCCCGAAAAAAATAGCTCACTCTTGCATTTACCCTCAAACTAGACATTTCATAAAACTCAGCCAGAATGCAATAAACCCAAAAACAGAATATAAAGTGCCTTTGCAAAAAATTAATAGATCATTTGCAAAGCATAAATGAGTGAGGTCTATCCTCCTACACTTTGGATGAAATTGGAAAATCCCATTCACAACAACCAAATCAGAGTTTTGGAAAGAACATTCATGGCTAGGACAAATAGGTAAGGGCAAAATGTTGACGAAAACGGGTAAAGAAAACAAAAGAACACGAGAATTTTACGAGGTTCGGCAATGTGCTTACGTCCTCGGTGCCTAGGCGGCGCTAGAAGTTTTTATTCAATGATGATATTTTAGGTCTAGGTTACATCTCTATTTATAATAGAAAACCCTGGTACATAATTACAAAATTAACCATGTACCGTACCGCGGGGGCTGCGCCCCCGCACCCCCAACCCACATAATTCGTAACCCACAACGAGACTTTCTTTGTAAGGTCAATTGATGTTCGCTTCGCTCACTCCGCTCCATCTCCTGTCCTCTTTACTGGTATATTTATGAGCCATACCTAACAAATCTCCACCTTGGCGAATATCCTGCCTCTTGGAAAATTCAATGTGGGTTGGGTTACCTTGATTCTTTAACAACTCGAAACATTCACAAGTCCAAGCAATGCTTGAACTTGTCTGTCGTAACTGGCTTAGTGAACATATCAGCGGCATTTTCATCAGTATGTACCTTCTGAAACAAACCTCTCCAGATGCAACCAACTCTCTGATCTTGTGGAACCTTACATCAATATGTTTAGTTCTAGCACGATACACCTGATTCTTAGCCAAGTGAATAGCACTTTGATTATCACAAAGCAAACTGAACTCCACCTTGTTGAACACCCAACTCCTTCACTAAACCAGTAAGCCATAAAGCTTCTTTTGCAGCTTCAGCCGCTGCCATGTACTCAGCTTCAGTTGTAGATAGAGCCACAATAGATTGAACAGTAGACTTCCAACAAATAGGCCTCCACCAAGAGTAAAGACATACCCTGTCGTAGATCTTCTATTATCCAATTCACCTGCATAGTCTGAATCCACATATCCTACAACCAAAGGATTATCCCGCTGACTCCCAAAAACAATTCCATGTCCCACAGCACCCTTTAAGTACCGAAAGATCCACTTGACTGCTTCCCAATGTTGCTTACCAGGTTTAGACATGTACTTACAAACTTGAAAAACATGAGCTAAATCAGACGAGTACATACCATCGATACATCAAGCAGCCAACAGCATTAGAATACGGAACCTTGCCATATCTTCAGCTTCCTTATCTGTCTTGGGGCACTGTTCTGATGAGAGCTTAAAGTGATTCGCCAATGGAGTGCTAACTGGTTTTGCGCTGCTCATCGCAAACCTTTCTAGCATTTTCTCAACATAACTGGTAATGCCCTTAACCCCCTTGAAGTAGTCAACCAAACTACCATTTAGAGTAATAGAAAATCTAGACGAGGCAATGCAAGAAGCAATCCAACAACAAAGGTACTAGGCATCCCCATAACCTCTAAGACATTGAGAAACCCCCAATCCCTGTGCTGGAATTGTTTGGTTTAGTAAGAACCCCGTAAATAAGCCTAAACCTTTTAAATTTTTTAACTTTTGGGCCAAACACTCTGACTTCTTGGTATTGTTGAGGATTTTGGAATGAACTTATTTCTTGTTAGAAAAAACGCACACATTAATTCGATAATGATATAGAAAAATAATAATGAATAATAAATAAACATCATTATAAAATTAAAGGGAATGAATGAATGGATAAAGATAGAGTGAATTTACTCTTATATTGAGATTGTTATCCGAAATAACAATATAGGAGAAATCAATCTTGAGAAATAAACCAAAAAGTTTAAACTTATTTAGAATATAAGATAAAAATAAATGGAAATAAAACACTCATTTATTTTGATTTATCGATCGAAATCAGTTGAGGCATGTAGCTATACAGTTTCCTTAAGATATATTTTGACCACTCATTTGGTGCTCGAGTTTCGTTGGTCGTCTGTCTCCCAAGATAAAACACTAATGATCAGCTACAGTAGCATATATGCACAAATAACGAACGATCATTGCCTTCTACTATCACCGGGAAAACTAAGGAAGAGAAATTTTTTTCAAGATAAGAGAAGCTCTTGAAAAACCGAGTTGTGAGATATGTTAAGATGTGAAAACCTAACAGGTTTACTCACTATCTATAGGATATTTTCAAGAGAGATTTAATTCAACCAAATACTTTTAATATTCAACATTAAAAAATAACAATATCTTTTAATTTGAATATTCAAAAGATAAAACTCATTTTACCATTCAAACTTAAATATGTATTATTTTAATTTAAAATACAAAATTATATAATTATCTTTAATATTTAAAGTTAAAAAAGGTAACAAATACATTTTTAAGTTGACATATTCAAAGAGTAATTATCCTACTAATATTCAAATTAAAGATATATTAATTTGAAATGATCAAAATGTAAACTCCTTTACAATTCAAACTTAAACAGATAATATTTTAATTTGAAATATTCAAAATTATATAATTATCTTTCAATATTCAAAGCTAAAAGTTAAAATATTTTTTTAAATTGACTTATTAAAGAGTAAGTACCACTAATATTTAAATTAAAAAATGTCTTTTAATTTGCAATAGTCAAAAAGACTATGAATTCAATTAAATTCACAATTTTTTCAAACATTTCCAATTGTGCCTAAGTCCCTTAGTACCAGTATGGTTAAGGAGTTTCGGCTTATTTCATGTTGTTCTAGTGTGTACAAAGCATTCACTAAGATCCTTGTTGAGAGACTTTCTTGTGTTTTCCCTGGCATAATTTATCTTAATCAGATAGCCTTTGTAAAGGGTAGGTGTATTATGGATCATACTCTTTTAGCTCAAGAGGTGATAAAAGGCTATGCTAGGAAGTCTTTGTCCCCTAAAATTCGCTCTACTCTATCGCTAAATCTAATTTTCAAATGAAAACTATGTTCTTATTAAATTGAATCCAAGTAAAATCTATTTGATTCGTATTATTTCTCTATGCGGATTAATATCACTATTACCAATGTTGTTGACAATTTCGATAAATTATTACTCCATGAGTAATGGGATATGGTGACATTCGTTACCATAAAATAACATTTCAAAAGTTGATTGGGTATGGGGTGGTGGGGCCCATAGCTGAGTCAGATGATCTGTCAATTAGATGAAACAAATCAGAATAGTTGACCCCACTTGTTATAATATTCGGACATGTTGTTAGTTCAATTCATTTTCAATTAACGACCCAATTGCCTGCCAAGACTACTTTACAATTAAACAAATCACTTAAGCAGCTAAAGCTTAGCTGTCCCCAACTGGTTCTAATGTTGTTATCCTATTTGTCTAATTCATGTATTGACCTCCGACAATGGTGAAAATCGTTAATCTTCTCCCTTTTATTAGATTTTACGATTTTTGACGATTCACTCATTCTAATTTAAATTAATTTATGATTGAATTGAAAATGACGATGAGACAATTGTCAAAAGTGATGTGGAGAAAAAGTTCTGACCCCCTCCTCTGTTTCTCTTTCTCACCGTCTGATAATTAAACTTTCGATTACGATTCTCTATCTAAATGAATTAATCACTAAAACCAATCAAAACCAATGCTTCCCATCAAAAGGTTACATTAACTTGTGCTCATACAATTCCTCAGATGGTAAAAAATACAAATTTGGTCAAATAATGCAGTCGAATGATTTAATCGGTAAAATCGGTGGAATAATGCATTGAAATTTTTTTTGCTCAAATAATGAAGTCAAAGGATTATTTGCCCATCTGGGACAAATGCTACAGTTTTCATAGGTCGTCATGTGCTCCGAACTACGATTACCTAAATTTTCCTAAGTAAAAACTATTACTTATATCGGTAATTAGGTTTTTAGCCGAAGATACTGTGCAACCTATGGAGGTCGTTCGGAGCATATGACGACCTATGTTGGTCGTTCGAAATAGCCGGCGACCTCGTAGATCTGTAGCAATCACCTTAAATGAGAAAATAATTCAAAGACTGCATTACTCCATGAATTTTTTTCCCCATTGCTTATTCCACCGATTTGCCGATTTAACCAAAAGAACTGTAAAAATATTCTGAGAGAAAAAAGAACAAGATTTCCAAACAGAGCAAGTTCTATATGTGTTTTGAAATTAAAATCTACATAAGCTTCTAAGTTTACATTTAAACATTTGAATCTTTTCTTCTATTTTCTTTTAATTCCCTTTTCTTTGTTCCACCCAATGTTCATTCCATGCTCTTTATTGCCTCCTCGTCATCTCTTATACCTCTATTAACCAGACATGGTAATGAAACAATATTCAGGTCGAGTAACCCGGGACTCGGATTCCTCCGACCTTTCCGGCAGGACTAATCGGAGAGGTTGATCTTAAACCTCTCGCAGGATCCAAACTTTTTCGAAGAATACTTCTCATAGCAGATATCAGATGAGCCGTAGGATCGGGAGGCGGTCCGGGGTGAGACGAATTTTCGGCAAAAGTTCATGTGCCTAACCATTGCTTCCTCAGTACCGATAAGCCTTCAGTTCTTATGATCTCATCTTTGATTGCTTCAGCAGAGGCCACATATCCATTTCCCTTGGTACCGTTGGCGGACCGTATCGATATAGGCCGGGTACACTCCTCGGTAAGTCCACAGCAATCGCAATTCGCAAAACTCGACATCGGTTTGTGCTTCACCGGAGTTGCTGGAGTTTCTTGCGTTGGGGCTGATACAGCCTCGGTCATTATTGTAGCAGACATTGCCAGTTTCCCCTTTTTGAGACCAAACACAATACCATAAGTTTGATTATGTTTTTATAACCTAAAGTATCAAACTTTGACTTGAGTTATATTATAGCTTACCTAAGATTAAGCTAGAAATTGCATTATTAACAACTAAACCAATGAATTCCCATAATTTTTTCTCAACTAAAACAAAAAAAGTAGACAGTTGGCTAGTTTGTTCAAATCTTGTGCTCACACAAGGCAATTATCATAACCAAAATGCAGCTAGCCATAAAATTTCGGTTTAACATAACCCTATTGAATTGACTATGTTCACATAAAAAAAACAACCAAAACCAGACAACTATAAGAAAATTAAAAGGAAAATAAAAGGCTGTTCAAAGTAAGTACCAGTAGATAAGCAGATGAAACAAAAACTTCGGGTTCTTGTTATTTGCTTAAAAATCCCCCTTTTTCCACAGCTTTGGCAAAAATTAGGTTTTTTCTTCTTCTTCTTCTTCTTCTTCTTCTTTGTGTTACTCTCTTTTTCCCACTCTTCTTCTTCCAACTTTCCTCCTGTGAAGAAGATCTCACACATGAAAAAATTTCCTCAAAAGACTTTCCTTTTTGCTTTGTGGTTTCTGTGCAAATACCTCAAAGACTCATCTTTTAAATTAATTTTGTGAGAGACCCAGATCGAACTTAGAAAAAAAGAGATTGGAAGCAAGGGATTACTTTTTGTCTTTGTGTTGCACAAAATTCTCCACTGGGAAGCACTTATACATTTGAGAGAAAGGGGGACTGGAGAAGGAAAAGCTAAGGCAATGATTGAAACTTTAAAGAGGGCGGACTCTAGTAATTCCATGTCAGCAAATTTGAGTAAATCCGGCCCTTATATCTTCATTGTCAGCTAAGCTGCTTGTCAATTGGCAGCTTTTAAATAATCGTTACTTAAAATATTATTTTATACGACAATGTTAAATTCGTTATTTAAAAAAGTAGAAGAAATAATATTTACGTAGAGTTTAATATTAATATTTTTGATAGAAAAAAAATATTTTAGATAGAGTATAATATTAATATTTAGATAGAAAAATAATGTTTTAAATAGCGTTTTATCGAAAATGTTAAAAAATAATAACATTTTCGATAGCGTTTTCCCTTAATCGTATATTAAGACTGTCGTATACGAGAGATCCCAAACTTAAGTCTAGTAAACAATAAGATATCTTACACGTACATTACTTAAATTATTAGTTTTTATTTAATTTTTTTTGAAAATTATTATATATTTTATTTTATTTTATTTTAAATCCGTTAAAAATTTAACGTTTAGTTTTTGAAAAATAAAAAATTAAATAATAAAACGGATCAAAACTGATAGTTTAGATACTATAAGCGTTAAGTTTTTAATGATTTGTACTAAAATAAAATAAAAAATAAACCTTATATAATTTAGAAAAGATTAAAAGTTTAGGTATTAAATATATCAAAATTGATAATTTAAGTACTAAACTCATAATTTACCCTAAAAAATATACAATTAGATTTGTTACGGAAATATTTATTCAGAAATATTATTTAAAATATATATTAAAAACTGTAGATGGAATGGGGATAAATATTTATTTGTAATTTTCATATATAGTGTTGTAGATTTAAAACTTTTAAAAAATTAAGTAAAAAAGAGAGGAGAATAATTGGATTTAACTTAAATTTAAATTAACATAATGCTATTAATTCAAAAATTGAAAAGGACACGTAGGGATGGTTATGAGTTAAGTTGAGTTTTTTATCCATCCGAATCTAATCTAAGAATTTAACTCTTTCCTCGAACTCTGACTTAAATTTAGAAGGGTCTCATCTGACATTAAATCTAATCTAATTTTAGGCCAATATTTATACTCGATATGAATTTTCAAAATTAAATTATATCAAAATTCATTAATTCGAATAAAATTATTTCCGCATAGACAAAAATCTTATACCTTATATGAAAATAATTATTGATGGAATGGTAAGACCTTTATTGATTTGATAACAGTCGTGCAAGCTAGCCAAACCCTTTCTTCCTTGGTTCCCACTCCTTACATCATAGGTTGAGACACATTATTAATAAATTGACAAGTACTTCAAATTCTTAAAAAAAATATATTAGGGTAAAGTATACAAATGGTCCCCCGATTATAGGTATTATTTTATTAAGTTCTTCAATTATTAAAAGTTAGAAAATGATCATCCGACTATAAAGTGTTGCTTTGTTGAGTCCCCTAACTATTAAAAGTTAAAAAAAAAAAAACGGTCACATGACTATTCATATGTTCAAAACTCGTTAGTTTTCGTTTAAAAATGGATGATATTTTGAGCTAAACGTTAAACTATTGATTGTGATATGAGAATATCTAATCCTATAATATCAAATGACTATTATATCTTAGTCATCATGTTGATGCCTAGCTTAAACAACCGTCGATTTTTTAATGAAAAATGACGAGTTTAGAACATAATAAATACTTGAGTGGTCATTTGATAACTTTTAATAGTCAAGAGACTTAACAAGCAACATTCTATAGTCAAATGACTATTTGTAACTTTTAAATAGTCAAATGACTTGATAAAGTAACATCCTATAGTTAGGGGACCATTTGTGTACTTTACCCATATAATTATCACACTTTTATATAAATTTACATTTCTACTTTTTACATTATGAGTTTTATGATTCAAATCTTTAACTTAAAAAAATTCATCATTAAATTAAACAATAAATTTCATTAATACATATAAAATTATACATTATTAATATAGATATAGATCTTATTATTTCCATGTTTTAAATTCAAGAAATATAAATAAGATAGATGCACAATTTTATGTTAAGAGATCAATTTATAAAATTTTTAAATGAAAAATAAATTAACAACAAAAATATAATAAAATTTTGGAATTTTTCAAAAAGATTATTTCATCCATATTTTCTTGGATTCATTGTTGTATATGGGATATACCTGGTTTGGCGATTCTAAATGCTTTGAAGCATCTCCTTGCTCAAAGGGTAACACTCTAAATATTGGGTTTTATTATTATAAATATATGCATGGACCATGCTTACCAACGCTATACAATAAATGATGCGTGAAAGGGGAATATATATATATATATATCGTGTATGCACCAATTATGATCGTGACATGCACTATTGTAATTTGTCGATTTTAGAAATAAAAGATGAAGATAAAATTGATATAAATAATTATAATAGGTAAATTATTTATTTAAAATAAAAGAGATATAAATGGAAGCGTGTTGGGTTGGAGCCTTTGGATTTTTTTTTCCTCACATGGGCGATACACTTAAAAATTATAATATAGAAATAGTAGAAATAAACATGATTAATATAATATACATGTTGTTTTTAAAGATTTTTACACAAAAATTTATAGAGTAAAATACATTATTAATAACCACCTATTTTTTTTTATCATTATAATTATTAATATTATAACTTATTTTAATTACCTACATTACAACCGAAGAGATTCCTAAACATGCATGGCAACCATCCAAACCATTACCAATCTTGTGACTCAATCTTCTAACCATTTTTCGACATCTAAAATAGGTATCGAGTTATCCCCATTTTACTTGAGCCAACAAATGAGTTTGTACAATTTCTTTCTCTAAAAAGTAAAATATGATATTATCTTTTAATTGTATCATAATATTAAAAAGACTTGATATAAAGTTGTCTAAATTATACATCTCTTTTTATTTGATGCCTAAATTTTTTTTAGTTCAATTTAGATGTCTAACATTACCAACTTTAGGTACCTCGTCGCTCACCGTCGTTAGAAAAAACCTATTAGTTACATGCGTTACGTTTATAAAATTTTAAAATTTTTATTTGAAATAAAATACTTTTAAATCTTATTTTTTTAAAGCTTAAAACCCTAAGACTTGAAAACATTAATTTCAAACTCCTTTATTCGGGTCGGATGTCGGCCACCGCCCTTTCCCATTGATGTCATCGCGAAGTCACCGACCGAACCTCCAATGTTGTTGTCACCAACTTTTATCGTCGCCTCAATCCCTTAAACCCTTAAAACCCTAACCCTTAGACCACCCTGATCATTGCTGCTTGATTGTAACCATCAAAGTTCACGTTGCATCTGCCATTTTGCTGTGGAATATGTTGCACTCTATGGATATTAAAAGGATTTTCGCAGGGTTCAGGGGATTGATATTTTTTATTGATTCCTTTTTAAAATTTTTAAAATTTTTTATTAAGTCACAGAATTTTTGAAAATTTTAATTTAGACTTATATATATTTTTTAAAAAAATTAGGTTCCTTCAAAATATTTTGCAATATCTACAATTGGTTTTAAGTATCAAGATTGAAAAAATGTACAATTTGGGGAGCCGATTTATCATTTAGATTAGAGAAAATAACCTCAGTGACCAAAAATGCCTTATAATATACGATTTTAACCAACTTTTTTTGGATTTGCCAAAATGACCAACTAAATCGCAATGCGATCGATAATTCGCAACGCGATCTCCGGTATCGCAAATCAGATTCCAGATTCGCAACGTGATTCTGACTATCGCATTGCGATTTCCCAAATTCGCGTTGCGATTTTCCTAAATCGCAACGCGATTACGTAAATCGCAACGAGATTCTGACTATCGCAATACTGAATTTCAAATTCGCAACTCGATTTCTGAATTCGCAACAGGTTTTAATTTCGCAACACAAATGTTTTGGGTATATAACTACGCAGCAGCAACAACTCATAACCTAAATCCCTAAATCACAACTCATTCCATCCATCTATCACTCTCTCCGACGACATCCGTTCCTATATCCAACGTCATCCTTCCCCATTCGGCAACAGGTTTTAGTTTCGCAGCTCGTTTGTTTAGTAAATTAATTTACAATAATGAAATCATCTAATGTTGATCATGTTTGGATAGATTTGTGTTTTGGAGGGTCATGAGAGAATGTTCATGGTGTTTTACAATATATGCCTTTACCCATGAATCTTCAACTAAAACTGTCATTAAAAAAGTTAACTTATGAAACTCTAATGTTACGTGTTGCAAATAAATTGAATTTAGAGCCCCTAAGTGGATTTAGGCTATCTTATCAGAGAAATGGTAAAGTTTATTTGTTAACCGACAATGAAGATGTTGAACGATTCATTGCTTACATTAGTGTTTCAAGTGATGATGTTACATTGTATGTTGTTAAACCTAGAAGTAGTGAAGTTGGGTCAGTAGCGGGTAGTAATCAACTAAGTTTTTCAACCCCAGTTTATGGTGCTCAAAATTTAATGGTTCCACCACAATTTCATCACCAAGCAAATATTGTTTCACCACATTTCCAATACCAAACACAATCTCAAAACCCACAACCTTTCCCTAATCCAAATCCCAATCAACTTTCAGCACCAAATTCCGGTTTTCGTGTTGACCAGTTAGACGATGATGAGCCAACAGAAAAAATTGTGAGTACTAGTCAGTATTCAAAATTTGATCTTGGTCAATACCCGGACTTTGATTTTGGTCAATACTCGGATTTTGATGATTTTTCAGAAGAAGAAACAGACCCTGCGTGTAATGATTTTGATATTGGTCAATACCCGAATTTTGATGATGAAACAGCCGTTGCCGAGGAATATGTTGTTGATGATAATGAGGAGGAAGTTATGACTGTAAATGAACATGTTGAACATCCATTCTGTAATTCATATAACACTGAAAAAGAAGAATAAGAAATCCCCAAAGAAAAGTCCCCGAAGAAAATGCCACGGGAGTATAACTGGAATATGCCAAAGAAGAGTT